TTGGATGGAGATGACTCCAGTGGAGTTTGGGTTTATGTACCCCATCGGATATGGGATTATGGTATACTTTCGGTTCTCTTGATATATTCTTCTCCCTATGGTGAAAACCTAAACCTAGGCTTTTCTCTTGTTTCAGGGCAAATCCCCCCAGTGCCATTTCAGGAAGGCAGCTTGGAGAAGCAGCTCATCGCCTTGTTGTTAACAGCCTACAATTAAGGACTGGTCGTGATGCTCCAGAACCAATACACGCACTGCCTTATACTGGTGGTGTGCTTGCTTCTTCTCCATACCCAAATGGAGCAAACATTGTTATGTACAACCCAATGACCACACAAACACAGCACCATGACCACTACACAACACACCATTACACAAATCCCAACCCTAGGAACTATGGTTATGGCCACGCTGAAGCTTCACCATTGGGTGATATGTATAATAGAAACCAGCAACATAACCACCACACCTCGCATCACAGGCAATCTCAGTGGAATGGTAGCACCAATAGTTATTTCAGTGCAAGAGATAATGGTGTGGGCGGGGGTACCAATTACCATCATGTCCATTCATCCTATGCTCATTCAGGTGGCTATTATGGATCGTATGACCAAGGGAATATGGTGGGGCAATACAGTGGTCATGGTGTGGGAGGCCAGTGGGGTAGGGGTGGAGGGAGAGGAGGGTATACAGACCCTCGAGGGCCACCTAACAGGTATTCGGCTTTGGATAGGGGACGAAGACCGCCCCATGGATATGGCCGCCCTTAAGGTCTTGTATTGTGCTGATTTTTTTTTTTGTTTTTTTTGTTTTTTTTCTACTTTATAGATCTAGATGATGATGATACCATTTCTTTTCCCAGACAATAAGGCTCTCCTCCTCGGGGATGCTAGAAATGGTCCATTGTGCATTAGATCATCTTGTAACATTTATTAGTTTGCCCTAGGTCTATTTCTGTCACTTTCATGTGGAAATCCCATTGTCTTGGTTTCTCCTCATAGGTTCTTTGATTATTCATGCAATGTCGTGATCTTAATGGTCACATCCGATGTGCTTGTTTTATTGAGATAAATGTAGGAAAAATATGTATTTGTTTTACCATGTAATTGTGGTGCCTGATGAACTTTATGGAATCTTTATAGGAAAATGGTTTGGTCTTTGTTGTGGCTGTGGCCACACAAAACTGTGCGGCATATCTCTTTTGCCCCTGTTCTTGGACGAGGATCTTTTGCCTCTCTATCCAAGATTCATTTAATGAAGAGATAAATAAAAAGATAAAAATATGAAAAAGGTTTTGGAACCGTGATTGTGCTCCATACAAAAAAGAATCTGGTTTTAGCTGTCCATTTCAATGGGCGGTATATTCATCATTTTTTGAGCTTTCTAGGAGCATGGAGAGGTCCTCAATTATGAACATAGGCTAATGAGTTTACAAATTATTTGGAGTGGTCCTCAATTCATGAACATAGGATGGAAAACATCTTCGTACATCGCAATTTGGTGAACAATTTCTCGGTATCTCCTGAGTTGTTGAAGATGTTTGGCGGCATTAAACTTTACAAAAGCAGGCCCGAAAGCCAACATTGTTCGATCAGCACGGTATGGTTTGCACTGCTAAGGGACTGAGAGATCAGAGGTTTAGGCTCTCTGCTCACACTGCAATCGAATTTTATGATCTTCAAGTTAGCCTGGGCTACAATAGGTCCAGTAAAGGAGTGGATTGGCTCATCACGAGGGCCAACTCTGCCATTGATGAGCTGGCTAAGCCCCCTACTTGGCAACCCACTACAGTCAAACCTCCAAAACCCACAACAGGGGAGTAGCATAGACATCTCTAACCAAAAACCAGAGCCAGTTTGAGCTCAAGCTCGAAACCCATTACCCAAAACCTCTCATTCTCATTCCAGTATTGCTGCCCAATCCCCACCTTCCAGTTTCTTGCTTCCACTTATGGAGACCGAGTCATGAAACCTTTTTCTTCCTCTGTTTCTTTTTTGTCAGTTGGGTTCCCGATCGAGGTCCAAAACTTCCCACCTGATGTTCTCTCTAGAACCAACAGCCAGGATCTTCATCTCTCTACAATCCTTTCAAGATCCCCCACAACCAGCGAATGCACCCAAATCCTCATTCAACCACTGGCTCAGAACCCGGCTTTATAAGACAAAATTCTCTCTTTCTCCAATAAAACCCACTTCCAATTCATGGAGAATAGGCTTGTTTTGGTCAGAACAGCACTGCCCGGAGTATGGGGCTACTCGGATTCATAGATTGGTGGTTTGGAATTCAGGCCCGTCATCATCGTTTTCTTCATCTATTGGGTTTGTGAATTCAAGATCTGCGTGTAAAGTAACCAGTCACGAATTATACCGAGCTTTGGGTCTTGTATGAGAGCGAGAGAGAGATTGGGGGAGAGATGCGAGAGAGAAAGAGAGGGCTTGGGGGGAGAGAGAGATCGGAGAGAGAGAGATCGGAGGGGGAGAGGGCGTATGAAAGGGGGAGAGAGAGGGGGCAATGAGAGGAGAAATTGGCATTTGTCAATTTGTTTAGGATGATAGAAGGTCATAAAAAGAAAAAAATTGTGGGTTAAATAGGTTCATGGGGTTTGAAGAAGTATTTGTTTTAAGGGTGAGGTTTGTATAAAGTTACCTCCTTAGAAGTCAGGTGCATTTACAAAATTTACTTAGAGATATCGTTTCGGCATCGAAAATCTTATGATGGTTTTAACATCTCTTTTTAAATTTAATTAGAAAATTTAAAATTTAAATAATGATACAGATCGAGCAGATTAATAAATACTTGAAAATCTTGAAAACAGACTGTCCATATGACTTTTTATTAGATGTATTATTTTTAGAACTTGGAATTCTTTTTTTTCTTTGTCCCTTCATCTCAAGGTCTAGATGATCAGTTGAAGGGTTCTCATCTCAAGGTCTAGATGATCAGTTGAAGGGTTCTCATCTCAAGGTCTAGATGATCAGTTGAAGGGTTCTCCTATGTGGGAACACTCTCCACTGGAGGATTTTCGAGATGCACATTTCCTCAACAGTATAAGGTTGCAACCTTATACGAACTTTTTCCTTTTTTTAAGTTTGATTCTGCCAGGTATCTTTTACATTTGGAAAAAGTTTATATAAGGTTGAGGCCCTAAACAATCAAATTAGCACCTAAAAAATCATTAGAAGTTGTTTCGATGCTGAAAAACCTTGAAATTCGATCCTCTTAACCTTCAGAGGCATGGGCATAAAAAAAACTGAATTTCAAAGTCTTGAAAATAGTGAATTTTGTAATGCATTATCTAGACCGTCAATTTTCAAGATATTCAAGTGTTTATAGGTCTGCATGATACACACTATTTTTAAAGTTAAAAATTTCATAACTAGAGATGGAACTAGAGATAAGTCAGTTATGGATTAAGAAGCAATGTTCTTATTTAGAAGTGGTCTTTTTGTCTAGAAAGCACGCGCAGACAGACATAAGAGTGTTAGAAAACTTTTTAATTTTTCATTTTTTTAAATTAATCATTTCAATCCTTCGGTCTCCTGACCGAGGGAATAGAAGTAGTATACATGCTCTTCACTTTGAAGTCCTAATTTTTTTGGAATTTTTACATGTGGCGCCACCCATGTTGAGATAGTTTATAAGTTGGTAGCTGAAATTCTAATCTTAATTAGATGGCTTAGAGCATTTATTTTTATTTTTAATAAAATTTGAGGCTTGCATAACTCTCACAAAGGTGCGCTTGAGAGAAAAAAAAGTTGATAAAAATGACCAAATCACTATTGGAGCTTGCATAGGTATTTTGGCTATTTTTATTCACTTTTTTTTTTGTTAACTGCTTTCCTATAAGGAGCGGGAGCGTCCAAAATCTCATCCAAAATATATTTTATAAAATAAAATTAAAAATAAAACTGTTAGGCACGACATTATGATTGAAGCTATTGCAGCCATTTATTCAGATCGGACAAATCAAAATAAAGATGACATATTTATATGTGGTTAGCACCGCATTAAGGTTTTTCCATTTTTAAAAGGTAAAACAATTGGAATTTGTCCTGAAGAAATTGCAGAAATAATCATTTCTTATGATTTGATACATAATTCTTTGGATTGTAGCCTTCTGTTCAAAGTCATTAAACCCTTTTTTTTTTTTTTTATCGTTAAAAGTGTACACCAAAGTTATTGGCCACCTAAATTTGGGCTATTGCTATAAAAATCGATAGCCGTTTCTAGTTTATACTATTTCTCTTGACGTCCGCATCCATTTACAGTGGACAGTGGTGACCATCTTTCCCAACATTTGCACCATCAATTTCTGTTTGGATAACTAGAAATACATTTCCTGAAATGTATTTAAGTGGAAATGACACATTGCTTATATTTGGATCAAAATTTTGCGACTGAAAAGTATTTCTGACCGTAATTGTTTTCCTCATTTCAAGCCAAAAATGAATAAATCTATTTAATGGTCTTTACCCTCCGAAATTAATTTCCAGCCAGATTTCCCCGTTATGGAGATGTCCACTGAGGGACTACATCCCTGACATTCTATGTCACTCTATAGACTGACTGCAAATCACACCCAAGACATCTGCACTGTCCATTTGCCCTAAAACACATCAGACACTTCTGATATTATCTGTATCAACGACAGTAAAGTGTACCAATCGATCTCCTCAGTTATCCGATATTTCACAAATTTACACTTCACAGCATATCTATCTCATGATCAAAATAAAGAGAGTTTGGACAAAAGAAATGCGGATCATAATAAGGTAATATTCAAGAAGTACCTCTGCATAAATATCTTAATACATGCTGCAAAATGTTAGGAAAACTTCTTTATCATGTCCAAATCAATAGCATATGAAATTGGGCCAAATATTAACCAAACTATTTGATGTGCAGAATGTTCATATTGTTTTCAATTTCTCCTTTCAATAAAATTGTTTTCCAACTAAGTTCGCCAAAAATCATATACAATAAACAAAAATATTCAGCCAAAATTAAAAAATGATTGTCTGCTTCCAGCTAAACCATTTGAAACCCATTTGACCATCGCCACCCATTCTTCTGGGGCAAAGTTTAACAACTCAAGACATTGACACAAAAATATCCTGATGAATCTGTACACACGGAATATGTAGCCTGCAGGTGCATCCAGGCTTCCCTGACCAGTTATAATACATGGTACAATATAAATTTTATTCACCTATTTATTGAAATTATTCTGTTCTAATACAAATAAATTCATCCTGGCAATTTATCAAAATCTTGCACATTGTGAAAATGTAAGAGGAATTTCGACATAAATATTAGGGATCTCTGCTCTATAAAGTTGTTGCTGCCCTGGGGGCTCATGTTAGTCACTAGCAACCAAGATTCATAAATACCATTTTACTACTAAATCTTCACCTACTTCTTGATTCAAACTCTCTTCCTCATATGTGACTCTTCAAAATATTCTAATCAAAACTGAAATCTGGAACATCTTGATTGATGCCTGGTTCCAAGCTTCTTGAACCATCATTGAAATCATTAGAGAGAGAGAGATTCTTTGTACGAATGCTGCGCTGTTGATCTGTAATACCTTTTGCCAAGCGTGTAGGTGGGGAGCTCATCTCAGGTTGTTTTCTACTGAACCGAAGGGCAAGCTTCGGCTGAAACCAGCGTTTTAGGGCTAGCCCACTGATCCGAATCTTCCCATATGATTCATTCCCTTGATATGGCAGTCCCAACCTCCTCAGCAAGGCCCCAAGAGCTTGCCCAATCCTGTAGTCACCGAAACAGACTATATATCACGCCAAAAATTTCTCAGTTTAGAATCTAGAGGAACAAAGCAGGAGTTAGTGTACACTAATAAATAAAATGCTGAAAGCTGCAGTAACTTCTATAATGTATTATTCACCCAAAAAAAAAAACTCCTATAAATGTATTATGTTGAAACTTATCTGGATTTATATGTTTCGGATTAGAGGACAATACAATTTTGGAAAAACCATGAGAAAACATGATCTTACACTAGTCAGCATATCAAAGGAAAAGATCAGCCTAAACATCAACCCTATAGTTCGTCCAGTTTCCTGAAGAAGTGGTGTCTGCTTTATTTTGCTCGACTTCCAAAAAATTTTCAGATAGTGCAAAAGCATTACTAATGTTCTTTGCCATGAACTGAAATGAATGGTTACATCAGGGAGTCTGTGCTGGGTTTAACAAGTGCACCCTGAATTGAATGTCACAGTTTTATTTATTTATTTATTTTTTATCTCATAATGAGTTAAAGCAATTGAGAAGAAGTTTTCGCCATACAAATCTGTGCTAAGAAAGAATATTAATCATACTGTTGCATTCCCCACTCTAACTGCTTATTTTGTTTCTGTGTTCTTGATCTATCCACTAGGTCAGTCTAGATTCATTCTCTACACTGAGATTGAGGAACAATACAAAACTGCACAAAGTTACGAGTACAACATTAGAAAGGAATTCATGACATTATACCCATTCCTGGACAAGATGAATTATCCATAGAGGATCGTTTAACCGGAGCAAGAGCACGAAAAATTGAGCATTTCACCACTATGATAGAATGACCCAAATAATCAACCTGTTCCCCAAATAGAGTCTCGCGAATCCTCCCTCTATGCCTTCAATTACATCTGAAAGTGGCTTGTAAACTTTATTGTGACCATCCCTTTTTAGTTGTTGGCAGATTCCATTATAAAGAAGTACACAGTGAAAGCCTCTAGTATATGTAAGAACGAAAAAGTACTTTCATTGTCATGGAATAAGAAGCATTCTATCTTAAAGCATGTATTTGATTTATTTAGAACTGTTAAAGATTAAATCATTAAATGATTATGAGTGTTGGAGTTGGATGTAGTATGGGGTATCTTTGTCTTTTTTATAAACTTTAGGACATTAGGTTTTACTAAAGTACTGAAAGGGCATTTCTCTAATATTTTTTTGATAAAGGTTAACATTGTATTACTGGGAGAGAGTTACAATGGAGAGTAATACAAGTAAGAGAGAGTCTGAGTTCACCCTAAGTGAGGGTAACTCAGTAAAAAATAGGCTAGCCTACCATGTACACAAAGGGCTTATAGAACGCCCAGTTATAAGGATTTACATGAAGCTTTTTGCAAAAATACATCAAGATAGAAAAACCAAAAAAGCGAGCCATATTACACCATGTGCCCCTGGTCTTGAGCAAAAAAGGAGTCGAGCCCGGGTTGCACTTGTCCTTGGCCCTGACATCGAGCATCCTCTTTCGCTAAGAGATCTGCGGTGTCATTGGACGTCCTCCATATATGCCTCCAGGAGACGTCCATATCCCTGCATATGTGATCAATTTCGTCAGCCAATGAGGCTAAGTACCATGGCGGTGTGCTCGTTCTCCTTGCCCACGAGATAACAAATTTGGAGTCTCCTTCCATTATCAAGAGTGGACCCCAAGAGGGATTAAAGAGTTTTAGGCCTATCAAAAGGGCAATAGCTTCGGCATGGTTAGAGTCCATAAAGCCTATGTACTCTGAAAAGGTGAGGAGGACGTTGCTAAGATGATCGCGAAAGACCGCTCCAGCCTTTGCGGGGCCCGGGTTCCCTAGAGAGCAACCATCGAAGTTGAGTTTGATGTATCCTTGGGGTGGTGGTTGCCAGTTATGATGTCTGGTTGCCAATCTCGGATGATGCTGGAGGACATTAGTCCATTGGGTGAGGAAAAAACTTCGTGGAATTACTGAGAACTCGTGGTTCGTGACCCAAAAAGTCACCAGAGATACGGTCTTATGGAGGAGAGCTGGTGTTTGGAGTTTGATGGCCTGAAAGATTTTAGAGTTACGTTCCAAACAAATGGTCCAACTAGTAGCTGCAATAGTTGCCTTCCAAAACACCCTTCTTGCTTTCGCCAACAAGAGTCTAAGTCATAGGAAATGCCTTGACCGAAGGAGGGGTGACCCATTTTATGCCAACAAGTTGCAAAACTTGACCGCAAAGATCAAGGGTAAATTCACAGTGGATGAACAAGTGTTGGTTCGATTACTCCTCACATAGGCATAAGGCACACCTATTCGGGATAGGAATCCCTCTCTTTTGTAATTGGTCCACCGTGAGAGCCCTATGAGAGCAGGCAAGCCAGTTGAAGGTTTGTACTTTTGGTGGAGCAATGGTGGCCCAAACCTTGGATTGGATAACTGTAGGACTACCCGGGAGAGTTGGGGGCATAATTAGGTGCTTGTAGAAAGATCTTACCAAAAAAATACCATAAGGGGTTAGAGTCTAGATGATATCGTCGGTCCCTTGTGGTGATAGGAAATGAGAGTGAAGAGAGTTTGAGAGTGACTGGAATTGGTTGGTCTCCTCTTCAGTGAGATTCCTTCGAAAGGAAGGGTTCCATACTCTGCGTCCCTCTGTGAGGACCATGTCCTCAGCAATGTAGGATTCTTTGTTAAGAGCCAAAGGGTGGGGAAAACCTCTCTCAAGGGTGCGGGGCCCAGCCACAAGTCAGCCCAGAATCTCACTCTGAAGCCCCCTCTAGGATGGAATCTGACAAATTTCCTGAACTGGGAAAGGGACAAGGCAAAAGATCTCCAAGCCCCAGAGGCGTTGTGCCAATGACGCCTATCGGGCAACCAGGCACCCTCAGGGATGTTGTACTTACATCTTAGTACCTGAACCCAAAGAGAACTTGGCTGGGAGGCTAAACGCCACCACCATTTCCCAAGGAGGGCTTGGTTTTGTTTACGAAGGATTTGAATACCAAGTCCTCCCTGCTGTTTGGGAAGGCAAATGTTGTCCCAAGCTACAAGACGGAACTTAGTCTTATCAGCCTGCTCTGACCAGAGGAAATTTTGCATGATTAGATCAAGTCGATTGGCCACCTGGGCAAGCATGTGAAAGAGAGACAACGTAGATCGGGGAATTGAAAATGGTGGCATTAATTAGTGTCTTTCTTCCTGCCATAGAGAGGTATCTACCATTCCACCCTACCAACTGGTTGTGTACCTTGTCTAGTACTTAGGACTACTGCCTTTTCTTCGGTTTTCCCAAACCCAAAGGGAGGCCTAGATAAGTAGTCGGTAGTTCTTCCACTTTGCACTCCCACCTCGGAATGAGGGATCTAACCTCTGCTGGTGTCAAGGTTACACTCATCATTTTGGATTTCACCATGTTAACTTTGAACCCAGTCGCAGTTTGGAAGCATTTAAGGAAAAGTTCAAGGGTATCCACTTCATTAGAAGAGGCATCTATGAACACCAAAGTATCATCTGTGTACTGCAGATGACTCACAGTTGGACCATGTCTACTACTCCTGAAACCCGAGAGGAGGCCGATCTCGTAGAGCCGGGAGATGGTTCGGCTGAAGAACTTTGCCGAAATTGCGAAAAGGAAGGCGGAGAGACGGTCTCCTTGGTGGAAACTCCTTAAAGAAGGAAAGTAACCGTTCGGGGTTCTATTGATAAGTATAGAGAAATGTGGATGTGAGTAACAACCTTGCATCCACATTCTCCATCTATCCCGGAATGGACTCATCGAGAATGGACCAGTCCACATGGTCATAAGCCTTTTCCCAGTCAATTTTGAAAATGAGGCCAGGTTTCTTTGCAAGATGTCTAGAGTGAATACACTAGTTGGCCACTAAAGCCCCATCAAGGATTTGTCTGTCTTTGAGGAAGGCAGATTGTGAAGAGGAAATAACAGAGGGAAGGACTTGTTGTAGTCTAGAGGCTAGGGCTTTGGCCAGAATTTTGTAGGTAGAATTTAGAAGGCTAATAGGGCGAAAGTCTTTTATTTCCTCAGCGCCTTCAATTTTGGGGACCAATGCTATGAAGGTGGCATTGATGGCTCTGTGGAGGGTGCCCCTAGGGAAGAACTCGGAGAAGAAATTGATGAAATCAGGACGGAAGGTGTCCCAGGACTCCTTGAAGGGGGCTATCGGGAAACCGTCAAGGCCCGGGGCTCTGTCTTTGGCTAAAGCATTGATAGCCGAAGTGATCTCTTCCTCTGAGAACTGCTGTTCTAGCCAGTGAGCTTTGTCATCTGCGAGGGATAGGAATTCAAGTGAAGACATCCTCAGTCTCGGGCTAGGGAGAGCTGAGTAAAGAGTCTGGAAGAACTCTAAACTTGCCTGCTCAATCTTAGCAGGTCGAGTGAGATAGCAGTTGTTGACCTTTGTCATCGTAATCGAATTGTCTCTTCTTTGATAATTTGCGATGCGATGAAAAAAGGCAGTATTGTGATCACCTGCTTTCAGCCAAGTGATTCTAGATCTCTGGAACCAGTAGATCTCTTCTTTTTTGAGAGTGGAGAGGTAATCCAATTTAGCCTTAGAATTGAGTTTAATCTCAGAGGATACCAAAGGCCTTGTTTCGTCGAGACGATCACAATCTTGAATGGTGCTAAGCAGGGAAGACTTGAGTTGGGAGAAGTCTCCAGGAATGGAACGACTCCAAGTTTTGAGCAAGGCTTTAAGTAACTGGAGTTTGGTCTGGAGGATGTACCCTGCTCTACCCGAGATATGTGAGGCAGGGGAATTCCACCAGGTACGTAATAGTAAAGAAAAGTCCTTCTCAAGGAGCCAGTGAAGTTCAAATCTGAAAGGCCTGAGGCCTCTCTTAATGGCATCAGTATCTAGTAGAATAGGACAGTGGTCTAAGGTTGGTTTGGGGAGGGCTAAGGAGGAGGATCTCGAAAAATGTTCCTCCCAGTTCAGGGAGAGGAGGAACCTGTCTAGTTTAGAGAGGATGGGGTTGGAAGCATGGTTGGACCACCTAAAA